TTCCGTTTCAGGACACCAACAACGATGAAAGTCACTTATGCGGACATGAAACATTCCATTTAATTTTGCATGAGTGGTTAAATACATCCAAAAATGAAATATTGTCTCGAAAAATCATTACCAATATCGGCGGAATTAAAATAACTTTTTATTCACTAGATCTTCTATAGCATTTTAGTGGTTCTTTTTTGGCAATACTTGACCACTCGTATAAAATACCATGAAATGTTTAATGGCATCATAGGTAACTTTCAAAGTTGTTTTACTTTACTACGAAATGGCTTCATCGGATGATTTAGTTATTGCCTACAATTGTTCCATGACTCCTGAGAAGACAAATCTGGGAGAAATTTTAAATACTGTTTATATTTTCGTAGTAGGAGACGAAGCCACTGGCAAAACCCGTCTCATTCGTGTTTTACTGAATGCAAGAAGAAAAGATTTCTAATCTGCCAAGTTTACGAATATGTGTACTCGTATACACACCGGACTATGCCCGGACCACTTTGAATTCAAATAGTAAAACTACAAAGGGAAGATCTTTTCTGAAGGAAATACTGATTTCTCGAACACGTAAGCATGTGTTCCTTTCGCTCTCTATTGACAATATCGCCAGCGGTATCGCTTCAGTCGAACATGGGTTGCTTGTGTGAAGGAACAGATTGGTCCTAGTGTGCAACAAAATCGACCTGTTGTCCTCAACACTCTAAAGGTGAACCTCATCTTTTACTTGTTAACAATTTTGCAAATAGCATAAGACAAGCTTATGGAATATCTTCATTTTTCGGATGTTCGGCAATCAGGAGCGAGATGGTTCAGGAAGTGTTCTTCGGAGCTGCAATGATTGGTAATAAGCACACGCCATGGTATCATGTATAATGAATGCAACTTTCCGAGACATTCTTCGAAATTCATGTGTTCAATACTTTTAATATCGTATGTTCATAATTTGTATTTTGATGCTTTTTAATATTATTATATTTTTTTTTAAATGAAATTTATTTTTTTAATTTAAATGAATTTTTTTTTTTTTATGAAATTTTTAAAAATGAAATCTTAGAAACTGAGACTTTTTACATTGTACATAATTTCTGTTTAATTTATGTTAACCTTGTAATTTTATTAGCATTTTTATTTATTTAATAAACAATTTCAAATGGTTTTGGTTCTTTTCATCGATCCGTGTACAGAAGTAATTTTTGGTTTGAGCATGATTGCGATTCGTGTTGAAAATTTGCTTTTAAGGAACCCAAATTTTTCTCATTGTACGTGTAATATTATTAGTTACAAAAATAAAACGAAACTGATGGGTAGGTATTTATATTCTAGAGTAGAACCTCTGTAAGCCGAACTTCAAGGGAGACGCCAAATAATTCGGGTTATAAAGTTTTCGACTTATGGAAGATTTCGACTTACGCGGATTTTGTAAGGAAATATTCGATTTGTAGAGGTTGATTCGTTCTAACTTATTTTGAGTTAGAGAGGTAAAATAAATAAAAATTCAAGTTGCAGAGGTAATAAACATGTTTATTTGTTAGAGTTCAAATGAAATCAATAGCAATAATAAGAATTATAATAAGAATATTTCATAGAATTGGTTATTCTATTTACTGTACACTCATACATTGTTTTCTAAGAAACAATGACGTGCATTGTCGGCAAATCCTTAAAGTCGGTAACTTATTTTTCATTGAGCTATAGAGGTAATTAGTTTCAAATGATTGAGTTGTGAAGGTTGTAAAACCAAATATTGCTAATGGTCGAGATACAGAGGTCCAATTTTTTCGAGTTACGGAGGAAAAATATAAACCAAAATGGCTTGTGGGGATTGACTCATTATTTCGAAATATAAAGGGTTGAAATTTCGAGTCATGGAGGTTTTGGGGCTTGAAGGAAGAGAACAAAACTTTTTTTTTCGAGTTTTGGAGGTTTTCGTCTTATCGAGGTTTTACTGTATATAAAAACTTCTTATTAGTGGTATTATATTACATAGTAGAACCTCCATTTTTGGCTTAACAACAAAATTGCAGAATGTAATCAAAGAGAGCAGTTAATGAACTTGTAACATCTCTGCCTATATTAGACCTATATAGAATAGATTCATAGAGGAAGAAGGCCACTTTAATTTTTATTTATAAGCACTAAATTATTATATATAAAAAATTACTCTGCATTATTATACAATGAAATCGGAGCTCAGAGATTTTCAAAGTTTTCGAGTCTACGTCAAATCTAATTGCCTGGTCTGCGGCTGTCACTTCTCATTGAAGTTGTCTCAAACTCATGGTCGATCACTCCTCACGATGGAACAACTCATGGTATAGTTCATATTCAATCTGCAGTTGTTTCGACTTGCGTGAAGGTTGCAAAGACATTCGCTAATATCCCGAGTCTCATTATACATGATACCGTATATCTGCTATCAAATTTGAGTGACAGGTTGTTCTCATTAGTACAAAACACTAATTATATGTAATATAACTACACACAATACTGCTTGTCTGCTGTCAAATTTGAGGTGATGGATTGTTAAAACAAAGTACATTCCTCTCTATTGGGAATGAAATGACAAAAACTCTTGCTAAAAAAAAAAAGGCTACAAACTCAATTATATGGTTGCTACAGCCACAATACGTAGGGTATTTACTCAGATGGTAACAGCGCAGCGGTAATAAAATGCTATTATTACAAATTATTTCAATAACTTTTTTTTTACTAGTATCTTATTTCTTATAATTTTACAGACAATTGCACGATGTTTCTATTACCTTCATTTCTACTTACTCATTTCACTTTAAAAATGCAGTTTATATCTTGTATTGCATAATTTAAGCAATATTACATTACAGTCTTTTATTTCTTGATGAAATAGAAGTAAACGCTGGTGTGAATTTTCTGGTTTTTCTCTCAATAATTCGACCAAACCACACAAAAACGTTGGCCACTTATCCCTAAAAATCCTGGAAAATATTACCAACACTTTTCACCACGCATCTCACTCGTAAATAAAATCCTCTATGTTCTACCACAATGCGACCTGATGGCGAATTGTCTACGGCTCTAGCTTTTACCACAGGCTTCAGGTTCGAATCTTGGCAGTGGCATGGATTTTTGCGAGTGGTTCGGAATCAATTTTAAACTGTAGGTCACGGTCTGATTATTGGTTTGGTTTGTCGCTCTAAGGCCATCTTGTGCACACGAGAACTAAACAGACCGGAATCTACAGTTTAAAGTTGATTCTTAATGACAGCAAACATCCATGACACCTCCGGGACTCGAACCCGAAACCATTTCACGGTCTAATTAGTCTAAAGTGGGCAAAAATTTATCATAGAGAGGCAAACTAAACTAAATCTACCAAAACAGTGATCGATTACATTACGATTAAAAATTAAGATAGATACATTTTGATCATTTTGGACGTTCGCTAACTTTTCTCCCGCGCATGCTCATAGGAAACATTATTACAGATAAGCATGCGCAATTTCTTATGAGCATGCGCGCTACGGAAAAATAGCTAACGGACGTCCAAAATACGGTATGCAAAAACTCTCTATTATTTACTAGATGTTCGTTATCCTCGCTTATCTGGCATTGAATATGAGACCAACATTGTTTTTTAAGAAAGAGTGACTTGATGTTTATTCATCCCAAAGTTGTTCTTTACACAAACTATTTTGTTCGTTCCTATTGGCTTCTGAATATCCTGTGCATCTTAATGTAAATGAAGCCCAATTTGCATGTTTCATGCTAGAGCAGTGATGACGAACTCGGCACCCCAAAGTAATCAGTCGTTCACCTCTAAGCAACCCGTTCGGCTTTTGAAATGAATGCCAATTTGAAAGGCGTGAAGCTAGCTGGTTAAAAGTAATGACATGCCCATTTTAAAGAAAACCAGTTTCATTGTTGGCAGCGCATAATGGTATGGGTGTTTCTATGGAACAGTAATGAATAAAATGACGCTATATTCATGAGGAGATCGTTCCTAATAAATTAAGTGGGTGGAATTCGAATGCAGTAGTCTCAAATTAGGTGGAAGGGTGTTATCCCGGATATGAGAAAAATCCATGGATGGCATTTTTAAAAAAATTATTAATATTATTTTGCAGTTTTATTTCATCTCAAAATGCCTACTGAATGTTAAAACATATTGAATAGTTTTTCTTGCTCTGGCGCTCGGTGCTACAGGTTTCGGGTTCGTGTCCCGGCAGTGCTATGTATGTTTGTAATGGTTCGAATTCCTGTTAAACCGTAGGTCACGGTCTAATAGGACTATAGAGATTTGGGCGTAGGGCTGATAACTCTACCTTGTAAAAAAGTAACCATCTCATGTCTTGAAATATACTAGTGGGCAGACGGCCATGGCCCACTCTGGGGCCGTTGCCCTAATGAAGATGTAGAATTAAAACAGTTTTACTTATTTCGATTTATCAATAAGTTCTCAAAATAATATTGACGAATTGAATATTATTATATAAATTATATTAATATATAAAATAATATTGAAAATAGAAAAAAAAATTATATCATTGAAGCTAAGCGGCGTACGTTTCAATGATCCGGTCTTAACACTTTCGCTGTCTTTCAAGCTGCAGATCGATATGTGGAGTGATGTCTCAGTAGCCAGTCACGCGTTCGCGCGGAAAGAGCCTCCCCTCAATATTTTGTCTCCGCTTCAATTTCCCGTTCAATCTAATGCAATTATATGGCAATTATATTTAATACATGGATCTCCGAGATCCATGTATTGAATCACGAACAGCGCACAGAGAGAATATGAAGGTCATCCAGAAGCTAATGCTTAAGCTTCAATTAAATGTTTTTCAATCAGCTATTCATTTAAGCTTTCTATTAAATGTAGTGCAATTAGCTATCATATGGGAGATTTACACTACCAGGCAGATTTTACTATTATTACTTTCGGTTCGATCTAATATATACATGGCATCAGTGGGCCTCATGATCCATTTATGAAATTACGAACAGTCCACCAACGCCCTGCTGAATATACCGGTTCTCGTTAGATCACCGAAGTCAAGCATCATTGGGCGCGGTCAGTAATCCATGGTTGACCACCTGGGAACAGCCCGCGTGCCGTTGGCATCCAGAAGTTTGGGATCTTGAATGGACTATGTATAGACGCTCTGATACCTTTGCTACAGGTTTCGGGTTCAATCTAAATATATATATAGCCATGGGTGTTTGTAGTGGTTCGGAATCCATCTTTATTTCCGAAGGTCCCGGTCTCCTATGACAATAAGAAGCGTCACCAGTAAAAGTCAGACTTCTAAATACGGGTGCTCCATCACATCATATATGCTTCCTTCCCCTTCAATCATGAGTACCTTTGCTATCGTTGCTTTCCTTTCAATCTAAGTGGGATAAGAAACAACAAACAAACACGAATAGTCCACCATCATATGACATATATAATCCATCTATTATTTCACGAACAGCCCACCGTCACAATAAGAAGGTCATCCAGAAGTTCCTGTTAAATATCTTGCAATCGACTATCATATATGACACTATCAGATACCTTTGCTAACGTTGCTTTCCTTTCTAATATATAATATCTAGTATATATATATATATGTACGTATATATATATATATATATATATATATATATATATATATATATATATATATATATGGCATCAATGGGCATCGTTTTCCATTTATCATATCACTCAACAACCCACCACGAAAATATGAAGTCATTCCAAAAATATCTATTAAATTCCCTACAGTTGCGTATCCTACTAGTATGGGTGAGAAATATTATCAGTCAACTTTATCGTTGCAAAATCTTATACATTTTATCCCCGTCGAATCTCGTAATTTTGAAAGCAGTGACGGCAGCAAATACCAACAATGGATTTGAACCTGTTCATTAGTTGAGCATGTTCAGATTCAACATGAAGTTGATTTGCAACATTTGTTATTCAAACACGTCTTCCTTAACATTGAAAACTTCTTTCCATAAACCAACGGGCGGGCAGACTCGATGACATTGACGAATTGACATTGAATTAGAAGTGATTACAGTAACTAATGGAACGCAATCGGAGAGCGGAATGAAGGATGATATTGAAGAAGGCCTTGGCCCACATTAGACTGTCGAGACAAACAAAAGGAGAAGGTTCAAAATTCATTTGACGCCTATTCCTGATAACTTCATTAACAAAGCATTTTGAAAATAGTAATGTGTTAAATTTTTTTATCTTCATTGCTTGTGTTCATTGATGTACTTAAGGCATGTTAGCAGATTAATGTAAACATATCTGTCCTATGTACTGTAAATTAATAACAAAATTGTTTAGAATTAGTTATGAAACTCATTGGAATTTAGGCTTGTTTAAGTGCTAGATATGAAACTCAGTAGAATATTAAATTGGAGTTTCGTAAGCTCAAAAGTTTATGAAATTCCAGTTTAGATATCTTATAACATATATGATATTCATTGGAATTTAAATGGGTTCAATCGTGTGTAACTCGAGTATAGATATATTCAATGCTAGATATGAAACTCAATTAAGTTTAGATATATTCAAAGATAAATAAAGAAAACTTAATGGAATTTAGATTTATATGTTAGATATGAAAGTCTATGGAGTTTAGATATATTCACTGTTAGCTGATTTCAAATATACATGCTATATATGAAACTCAGTAGAGTTTAGGTATAATATGCTAAATATGAAACTCGGTGGAGTTTAGATATTACGTAAAATATGAAACAGTGGAGTTAAGATATATATATCGGATATGAAACTCAAAGGAGTTTAGATATATATGTTAGATATGAACTCGGGGAGTTTAGATATATTCAATGGCAAATACGAAATTTAGTTCGTAGTCCTTTTTTGTATTAAATTAAAGACTTGGGTTTATTTACGACGTCCTATCTCGACCAAAAAGATTTATCGTGTCGTGCAAGATCACTAATTTGCTCATTATGAGTGAGGCTGTTTTTGTCCATCACATCCATAAGATCATTTTTTAGTGAATATCAAAAGGAGCACGTGTTTCACTTACG